CCCCCCCCCCCCCCCCCCCAATAATTTGCACTGAAAACATTTCCAAATATCAAAGTACAACTTATTATTTTAAAATGCCTCCTTTAATACTGTAATTCAAATTTTCTTGTAGGGCAACGTTCATAGCTCAGGTCAATTTTGGACATAAACCCGTTTTCCACTTGGGGAATTTGTTCGCGCGAAGTGATTTTTCCCTTAGTTTGTTGGCATCACTTATCACGTCAGCAAAAGCGATTCCAGCCACAGGAGCCCACCCATGACTTATTGGAGAGCAACATACACGTTTCAACGTATATTTTGTAGATAATATTTTCTGTGCCCTGCGGCCCCTGCCCTTTGCCTGCTCTTCAACACTGACCTATATATTTACATATGCAATGCTATAGTATACGTTGTTCTCCAATATGACCCGGGGTGGGCTCTCTGTATTCCGACAAACGAAAAGGTCACTTCGCACGAACAAATTCGCCAAGTGGAAAACGAATTTAGATTGCAAAAACATTCTGCTCGTTTAATTTCTGCAAATCTCAGTTCCTAAAGTGCATATGACATGAAATTTCTTATTTTCTTAAACGAAAGAGCTCTTTAAGCTGTAGTGTAACTTATTTTTCAGTTTCTTGTTTTCATGGTTTGTTCCCGAGATATTTCAATTTGTTTGATATGTAAATGAGTGTGAATATGTCCGCTAATCGTCGGTTGGTTGCACGCTCAACTTACACTGGTTATGTAGATATCTGTTCTCGTTTTTCTACAGTGTTTCACCACATTTACCAGTGAGTGAAGTTTGAAATTATCGTCTTGGATGATAGTGATATATTGAACCATTTTGAAGAGCTTGCAACCAACATGACGTCATAAATTAGCGGACATATTCACATCATTTACATATCAAACAAATTGAAATATCTCGGGAACAAACCATAAAAACAAGAAACTGAAAATTAAGTTACACCACAGCTTAAAGAGTTCTTTCATTTAAGAAAATAAGAAATTTCATGTCATATGCACTTCAACGTTTTCGCCAGTAGGATAGTAGTGTATCATTGTAGGCAGTAACCAAAATTTTGAAATTTTCTTTTTCAATCCCGCAGGGTATGACAGAATTAACAGACCAAGTAGACGTATGACGTATATCTGCGAGCAAATTCATGGATAGTCTTGGTCTGCAAGTTGTGTTTGTGCAAACTTCAATCCCTTCCAGTCGCAGGACCCAACAAGGGTTTATATAGTTTCGTATGAAAATTTTTGTAACACATTAAAGTTCTGCGAAAATACGAATTTAAATCGCAATTATTAATTTATAAATATTAGTAACTTTTCCCACAGGAGAGAAAAACGACCCGCGAGTGTCATTGACAGGAAACTAAGAAAAAGCGCATGTAACTTGAACGTATTTAAGTATTTAAACAAAGTCCTTATATGGCCTCTATATCCGCGCTATATATAACAGTTCCCGTATGTGCAATATATTATAGTCTGGAGGTATTTCGTGTCATGAAGTAACTTTCCCATTGGGATCAAAAGAACCTCATTGCTAAAGTAAATCTGTGTACAGAGCACGATGTAATGTATAGAACTTTGCAATTTTGTAATTCAGCAATAGCAAATGTACAGTAAAATGTAAAGAATGTTTGTTTTTAAAAACAGACCGTGTACGTATGCATCTTCTCTACACCGTAACATACCGCAAAATAGCGAAACTTTCAGTGAGTACTGAAAGTTAAGGTTGCCACTGATTAATTTTTGAAAATACAAGACAATGGACACTCCAAGAACGGTTAAAGGAAAATGGCAGCAAAATTTTTGTTTGCCTAATTTGAAATAATGTTAAGATCAAATCCTTTTTGCAAATTTTCCAATCTAATTCTAGCATTAAAATGACTGCGAATTGCTCAATTTAGAAAATAATGTTACCCTTGTTGTGACGTCACGCATATCCCAAGACACAAATACAATTGATGTGTTTGACAAAAAATGGCCGAACAACAGTAAATCATGGTTCATATGTACCTGCGGGTATGTTGGCGGGCTTATTGTCGTTAGCAGTTCAACCAAATAATTCACAAAAGAATGTATGCATCAACAGCTGTAAATAATGATGGCGAGGCATACCGTAAACCAGGCTTAACAACCCAGAAAGCGCGCAATGGAACCGGAAGTGGTCCTTGCAAGACACGACCTAAACTAAATAATAAATTTACGCTAATCAAGGACGTGGGTGCAGCGGTTAAATTGAAACCTGACCTTTTAAATTACATTTTACGTTACCTAAAGCAGGTTTGAAATTTAATGTGGTTTTTCATGGGTACACTCAAGTAGCTGGTGTCTCTTTCGAACATAATGGTATGGCGAGGAAATTTTGAATATTTAGACCTTCGACAGCCCAGAAATGGAACTAACATTTACTATTTTTAGCTTGCGTTTATTTTTAACTTCGACGCTTGCCTGTCACTGCTCTTGTTCACCTGGGGCTGGTTGTATAAAACTCTTAATCACTTTTTTAATCACTATTTTGTAGTTAAATAGTGATTAACTCTCAAATAGGCGCTTCTTATTGGATGACGTTTGCACTTAATCATAGTTAACATTAATCACTTTTTTATACAACCGGCCCCTGAAAATCTGCTCAAATCACCTCTAATTTTACCTGTGGGTGTTACCCCCACACCACAACCCCCGGTCGTTGTGGCCCTTTATATGGAGGCTTTGTTTCATCGAACAGAGACATTACGTTGGTCTGATCAAATGGGCGTGTAGCAGTGGATGGGTGGTTTGCGGTGACGTAATCACCGAACATGAACTACTGTCATGTTCGGTGATTACGTCACCGCAGACCACCCATCCACTGCTACACGCCCATTTGATCAGACCAACGGGTCAATAGAATAGACTGATAGAGTGAGCTAGAAGAGGATGTAGTGAGATGGAATGGAATAAGATGGACTAGACAGGATGGAGTGAGGATGTGGCGTCGAGGTTGGTGTGAGGTGGAAGAAAGATGTAGCTGGGTGGAGAGGCATGTAAGAAGGGTGCATTTTGGTGCAGTGTGGACGTGTGCAGTGTGAAAGAGTGCAGTGAGGAAGAGAAAGGATTCTTTCTATACCTCACTGCACCCAAATGCATCATTTCTCTACCTCACTGCGCCCAAATGCATGAATTTGGTGAGCTAGAGAAAGGGTGTATTGAAATGGAGCGGAATACTGTGAATGCATGAGGTGGTGCAAGGTCACAGACAGGTGGACTTCATGAAGTAAAGTTAGGGGTGATTTGTGCTGATTTTCAGGTAAATTATGAAAGCGTTGCGAGCCAAGCAGATAGCTCCAAGCTACAGGCGACAATTTGCTCTTGGCTATAGAATTTAGCCCTAACTATAAACTTAATCCAATGCCAAAAGCTAACTGTAAGTCTTGCCCTATCGGCTATCGATAACCAGTACTGTAACTTTGGGTTAATGCTAGAACACACCTCGATGTAATTAGTGCATTTAATGTTATTATTTAGTGTTACTATAATTTAAGTATACACAAAAATTGAATAGAATCTAGTAGTTTTAGTATTCTCCCGATTTCGTATCATAAAAATTAGAGAGTTTCAGCAAGCCGACGAAGACGTACTTGACAATTTTCGCCGCCCGTTTGCACGTTATCTTGCGCAAACTGAGTTTCGGGTCACTGGCGATTGCTCAAGGTGTTTTCGCGTTATAGACTCGCGCATAGGCGTACGGGGGAGGTCGCCAAAATAGTTTTTCCGGAAAAAATTTTTTGGTGCTAGTCGGGCAGAATCTCGAAATTTTTTGGGCAATGTGGAATTTTTTGGGCAAAAAAGCTACCGCCCCCCCCCCAGAATTTAGCGGCCCCGTACGCCTATGGACTCGCGTGTCGCTGTTCATGAATACTGACCCTTGTATATCCTGACAAAGACAAAAGAGCGGGACATGAAACTATATCCCGTCTTTGTTTTTCTACCTTGGTTCAAAACGTGTGCACGACGAATTTTGCCTGTTGAAAATGTTCGATCTGAACGAAGGACAAGGACGGGATATGGATTCATGCCTCCCTGTTTTGTCTGGGTCAGGTAAGTAGGTATCCGCAGGAGACTAGGTCAGGGAAAATGAGGATTAGGGTCAGCATTCATAAGCAGCTACAATCTTTGCCAGAACCTATTGGACATATGCTGTAATTTCACACAATTTGAAAGGCGTAGCAGGCCCATTTTCCCCCAGTCCAAAGTGGGCTTAGACGTCATCGTTGAAACGGGTGAGGGAAGGGAGGGTCATCAACAAATAGTATAATACATCTGAGTGCATATAAAAAATATAGGTACGCAAAGCGTACACGTATCTGCGAAAAAACTTGATTCACATTTTGTATTTCCTTGAAAAGAACTGAATAATGAAAATGACATGGGACAATTGAAATATTTCATCACTTATTAGTCGCTGGGGCACTCTGTGCCTCCAGCTACTATAGGTTTCGGCTTCATCGCGGATTGTTGGTCACAAAATGACCTACGTCATTTTTTTGTCAAACATTACGTCATTACTTTCAGTCGCTGGATTCAAGATGGCCGCCTATTTGGGAGCGTATTTGGAAATAATTTCATCGATTTTGTGCATATTTTCTTCATTTTTTCGATGAAACTTAATAGTTTTCCATCAGCCAGACTCTATAAACCGAAAGTCATCTTATATGAGTAAACTTGGAAGGCTGGAAGCCTGAAATAGACGACAAAAGTTCACAATTTTCACAAAGTTGGAACTTCGTAAATTGCAACAATAATATTCGCAAGTTGCTGTTTATTTGGATGTAAATAGAATCTGCTTAATGGGACAAGGGTTTAATAGAACTTTTTGCCTTGCTGGCAAATGATATTTTAAAAGCTCTCAGGACAGCTGTTATCTCACAATAGGTATTGTACAATTCAAACACACAGAACATATTAATTTGTAATT